AAATTTTAATTTATAGATAATTAAAATAAAATGTTGATTTTGTTAATTTTAATACAAAATGTTTTTACTATTTAAAACATGGTTGTTCAGTCAAGTCACCCGGTCAACCGGTCGGTCAGAAGTCTTTGACCAACCGATATCGGTCACGATTATGACCGGTTATGACCGGTCATGACGGTGACCATTAGCATCCCTAGTCTGGCTGACAAAGCTGGGGAAAATATAAGTCATGTAAAAGTTTACGTCATCATTGGTATAATGATGAAAACAGGTTTGATAGATCCAACCACCAATTTCACTGTCACATGATGATGATAATAATCGACATGAATAATGATGATCAATATAATGATGCGCAGTACATTCATAATATTTAAACTAATGGTGATGAAAATAATTGATGACGTAATGACATGATAATTTATATTTTTAATATACAATATTTTATATATAGTTGATATTGTAATAAAAATATAATGAAATAAATAAATAATATAATAAATAAATTATATATTGTATGCATCTATTTCTATCTGAAGTATATCATATTATTTAACGATACTTATAAGATGTTTCAAAAAGATCTTTAAGATATTATATAAATGTAATAGAACTATCGAGAATCTGAAATTATTATGATATTTATCATATATTCACCTGATACTTCAATAAAATCTTCGATTATTAATTGGGTAAAATTTAGTCATTTATTGATAAAAAATCAGAAACCCGATTTCTTACAAATGATCATTTGGTGTTTATAAAATAATTTTAACTGATTGTAGCCAGAAATACTACAAGACTCTGCGCTTAATCAGAAATAAGTATCGGGACTGTATAATAAAGGTATCAGTGAAAAATCAGTGAAGAATCTCATTTGACTTGTGAGAAGTAGAATTTATATTATAATTAAACTATTTTTCTTATTACTTCCTTATATACATTTTAGACGATGGTTGAATTATTATTATCAAGTATGGTTTAGCGAATTACCAAAGAATATTATACGTATTTATTTGTTTTATTAAAGAGAAAATTTTCCTTTTGATTATAATACTTATAGTCAATTTAATAAAACATTATTGATTTTTAGGAATCAGCAAAAAGTTAGTATCAGAACTTTTCCAATTATCTATGCATTTATTTAGTATATATGTTAATTTAGCTTCAAATTGAACGTCTTTGTTCAAATATGAGATTTTTACAAACAAAATGCTGAAATCGTCTTAATGTAAGTTAAAATTCAATTTTTATTATATTGAATTATATTATTAATTTAATTTTAATTTTCGATTATTTATATAGTTAAAATTTATAAAAAAGTTGTTAAAGTTGTCATAATAAATAAATTTGCTATTAATTTTATCGGTATATTATATAAATGGGTCATTTAACTTTTATGATGATCCATTGACCTGTGATTGGTCATCAAAGCCATTTGCCATCACTGGGTGGGGCAAAGTAAATTTAATTATCAACTACTTGTTCATAATTGGGCGCTTATCTGGCTCATTATCCTAGTATTCTAAAAAATTACTTAGAAAAAATATTTATGTTATAACTTTAATTAAATTTATATTCTATAATCTTCAGGTGTGTCGGGAATGATCTTTTCTCTGTCCTCCTAAAATGTCGATAGCTAAATTTACGTCGTATTTCAATTAGTTTCTGCTTCAATTCTTTTTGATAATCCAAAGTCAGCTAGTTTAATAAAATAAACCTTTGCCGAAATGCTATTGAAACGCTATTAAATGCATATAAAAAAAAATTAATTTTTAAACAACAATATTCTGAAGAAGATGTAATATTATCAAATCACGTAGCACAATTCCTTCGTTATGTAAACAAAATACAATATAAGCCAACTGGAATGCCAAGTTGTATTTATCTCCTCAAGCAAGCTTATCAAAGTAACCTTCAAATAGTTTTTAAGAGCACCACAGCATATCCATTACTAACCAATATTTTTTCAATTGATTATTTGATTTTCTTTTTTTTTTAAAAAAATAATAAAAAAAAGTAATTTAATGAATTTAAAAATAAAATGCAAAGTTTATATATATATACGCATGATTTATACCTTGGTTGATAATGTAATTCCAAAAAAGCGAATGAATTTGCTATGAAAATCAACTTCCCGTTGAAATTATTAGAATAAAAGGATTTTATACTAAATAGATAGATTGAAATACAATCTCAATTTTTTTCCTCAAGTTTTTTAACAGAGACAATGTTGAGGTTATGAAATGATTTTAACGCCAAATGTTGCTTTGGGCTTTTCAATTTGCACGATAAACTTTTCCAAAGACGCCAGCACCAATTTTTTGAAAATAAAATGTTTGTATTCGTAGTATTTGATATATTTTTCTTGAGAATCCAATTTAAGCCACCGGTAATTTAGTATATGACGACATATTTTTTTTCTCGTTAAATAAATTACTAATAATTGATTTTTGCATCAAAAATTTATCAAAAAACAATGTGGCGTAGCATGTAAACACTGACTAAGCTGTATAATTTAAATTTCCCTGCCAATTGTTAGGTGACCCCATTGGGTAACTAGTCGCATTAGTATAAAGCAAGTAATAAAGTACATTTGAAGGTCAACAACTAATTATGTTATTCTATGGCTAGGACAAGTTTGGTAGGTGATTTATTTGAGCAATGCCGATTTTTGATCGACATAAATATATTACTTATTTCCGAAAGAGTTGAAACGAAAGGATTTTGGATTCGGATTTTTAAATCCGAATGAATAAATATTAATAATATAAATGAATTTCAATTCGGCATAAATACTTGCGAATTTTTTTACATGTATAAATGAGTTTAAAGTTCCCGACTACTCGCATAATTCATTTTATTGGATCGACAAATGGAAAACCATGTAAATTTCCCTTTATAGAAAGGTCATTTCTGATCAAATAAATTAACGAACGTTTGATTTTCAACTTGGCGTTGTTCTTAATCTTTTAGCCGTATAGAGGAATTGCTCTTAATATTTTAGTCGTATTAGAGGCATTGCTCTTAAATCTTTTAGCCGTATAGAATTTCGTATAATATTAGTATAAATATTGAGATTTTTTTCCTTCTCTACAAGTACTTTGACTTTTACTGACAATTAAATCATGCCAGCAGTATCGAACAACGGAATCATTTTCAAGGCTATCCCAGAAGGAATACCCCAACCCGACGTACACTTTGAATTAATTCATCGTACAATTGATATTGAAAATTTGAAATTGGGAAAGAATGATTTTATTTTGAGGAATCTTTATTTGTCTTTAGATCCTTATATTCGTACGACCTTAAGAGAACCTCATAGTGAATCATTTTTGCCACCGCAAAGAATTGGTCACGTTATAAGTGGCCTTGGAGTTTCTGAAGTTATAAAATCAAATGATCATAACCATAAAGTTGGTGATCTCGTTTACGGATTTATTGGTAAATAAATGAGAATTATTACTTAAATTATAAATGAACCTTCTTTAAAGTTTGAATAATAAATATTCCCTTTTGAATTTAGGTTGGGAAGAATACACTCATATTAAGACTGATGAAAATAGAATAAACTGTGCTCCTTTTAAAAACATTAATTATCATAAAAAGTTATTACCCGAGATTCCATTGAGTATTCAACTTAGCGCTTTTCAGCTTAGTGGATTGACTGCTTACGGATCCTTAATGGCTCTCGGAAAACCAAAAGCAGGAGAAACGATTTATATTTCGGTATGTAAAAGATAAACTTGTACGTTTCTTACTCTATTTTTTATATTTTTTTAAAAAAAAAAATAATAACCCAACTGTGTAAATTTCTTAATTTTTTCTAGAGTGCGGCTGGAGCCACCGGACAACTTGTTGGTCAAATCGCCAAAATTAAAGGAATGAAGGTGATTGGGTCTACTGGATCTGACGAAAAAGTCGATTACCTTCTGAATGAATTAAAATTTGATGCTGCCTTTAACTACAAAAAAGTTGACCTTGATAAGGTATGATTAAGATATTTTTTTTTCTTTCAATTAGGAATTTTTAATCCTTACAAATTCATGAACTTTTTATAGACATTATCGAAACTTTGTCCAAACGGTATTGATATTTACTTTGAAAACGTCGGGTATATATATATACATTTTTTTTTCTCGTGATTTCTTTTGCGTGTGAACTCTCACTAATTTCTCGTTATTATAAAAAAAAATATAAAATAAAATAAAATTAGCGGCGAAACACTCGAGGTAGTCCTAAATCATTGCAATCGCTTAGCTCGCATACCAGTTTGTGGTATGATATCACAATATAATATTACGGATCCAAACGGAAAGTATGGAGTAAAAAATTTGGAATTAATCTTTCATAAGAGTATTTGCGTTCACGGATTTCTAATGTCGGACTTTTATGGAACCCAAACTGAAAAAGATTTTGATAAGGATATGTTAGAATGGGTTAAATCCGGTAAAATCGTTTGTAAAGAAAATATTACCGTGGGAATCGAAAATGTTGTAAATGGTTTTATTGATATGTTGGTCGGTAATAGTGTTGGCAAGTCGATCGTAAAGATATCTGATTATTAAAAATAATTTTTTTTCACATTCATTCCGTTCATTTGACAACATTTCTTTTAATAAAATATAACGCTAAAAATTATCTCTTATAATTTCAAAAAGTTAAAATTAATTTATCTTCATATCAATGGCTTTACAAAATTAAAATATGTACAGTATATTGTCTCACATACAACTTTTATTAAGATCAAATGATAAATCAAAAAGATTAATTTTGACTTTATATTGAAAATTGAATTACTAAAAATAAATTTACAGCTGTTTTCATAAGTTACGGGACACTCGACAAATTTGATGCCGAGTACTTTCCGGAAACTCGGCAACCCGGAAACTCGAAAATAATAATAAAAATATATACACGTCTAGAATTTTTGACGCGTTACACCAAAAGCAAATCACTGGTATTTATTTTTTGTACAACCAACCATATTAAACTATACAGTCTCGTTCTTAGAATTTCGTTTGAATGCTTGTCCAATTTGTCTTATTTATTTGGATTGTAAAAATGAATATGGTCAAAAGTGTACTTGCCAAACAAGAGTAGTAGAATGGAAAAGAAAAAAAACTGAACGTAACTATATGGTAGATAACCTCTTACACTACGAAGCAAAAAGTTGAATTAGATTTAGTATTTGTTGATTGTTTTTCACTAAAGTATCTCCACAAATTGTGCCTTCATCTTTTCATGACAATGTAAACATTTGTCATAGTTGTATAAATGGATACCATACCAATAATAAAAGTATGTATTTTTTTATTGGAAATAAAAATGCTGATCGTGTAGCAATTTTCGAAATAAAAAAAAATGCACAACATATTACATTATTGAGAAGTTGAATTAAAATAAACTTTGTTTTCATAAATTAGGACATGCTATTAAATCACGTTACGGATTTTACTCGATAAAATTCGGACAAGTAGCATATCTTTTGCGCAATTTCACTGAACATTTTAATAACAAGTCTTAATAGAATGAAGTGATTTCTAAAAACCCTTTAGATTTTATTTTTTTTTTTTTGAATGAGCTTGTCTTTTGTATTCAAAATTAACTGGCCTCATATTCATTGTACTTATATTAATTTTTTTGAATAAGCGACGACAATGTTTTTATTTTGAAGCTTAATTCAAAATATTTCTAGATCTCTTTTTTGATGCAATTTTTATGAAAGTTTCTGGAGCGATGTTAACAACGTAAATTATTGAATAAACATATATGTGGGAGGTTTGCTATTAAAATCGAGTTACAAACAATCTCACCATCAAAATCCTCGGACACGTGATTTTAGGTACACGTTATTTGATTTAGGGTGACGCAAAATGTCGATATGCAAAAACAAATTTAAAATTCTCACGCTTTCAATAATTCAAATTTTTTTTTGATATTGCTCTTATTGGGATACGCACCTTCATATATGCCGGTTTTACTCACTCCGATTATATCACCTGCAAAAAATTATCAACGGTCGATCATTACTAATTTGTCTAATCATATATCACATTTACCAAGCATAGCGGGCTTAAGCCTGATTGGTTGATTTTTAAAATGATCATCACATATTAAATTCATATAAAAAAGATGATC